CTGCATAGTACGTACTGTTGTTACTAGTGATTGGAGCACCAAAACTGAAAAGGGCTCATGATAGGGTGGATGTTGGCAGTGTCAGTATGGACTTCGTGTTCTTGTATTCGGCTTTTTTCCGGAATTTCTTTTCTCTGTGTAGAACACAGGATACCAGCTAGCTGTGCTAGCATCACACCAGTGATGTATCTTGTATTCAGGTTAGGATGGAGCAGTAGTTGTTTCACTTACTCTCTTGTTTCTTGTTTTGTGTAATTATCTTACTGCGTAAAGTACTCCCCATCATTATGAGCAAGCTGAGATGCCTTTATATGTGAGATACCCAGAAAAAAATCTTTGCACTTTTATTATAGTTCCTAATTTATGGCCAATAATGGTGAATTGTCACTGATGCCAGCTAAGTTTTTTAAATTACTGTTTTAGGCACAAACAACTTTGAAAGTACAAACTTACATTTTGAAATACTTTTGAATCACTCTTTCATCTTTCAGCCTACAGCTAATCTTTTCCTGTAAATGTGATACTGATTCATACCAAATAGATACTGGGGCACCACCCTGACCTGGAGAGCCCAGGCTAGCCTGATAGCGTCAGATCTCGGAAGCTAAACAGGGTCAACCTTGACTAGTATTTGGAAGGGTGACCTTCAAGGAATACCAGGGTCGTGGTGCAGAGGCAAGAAATGGCAAATCACCTCTGAAACATCTCTTGCCTTAAAAACAAGTCTAGCTTGCCACCTAAAAGAGCTAGAACTTCTGGCTGCCAGACAATCCTAGGATCTCCTGGCTATACTACACACACTGCCAGATGATGATGATGATGATGATGATGATAATAATAATAATAACTGGAGCACTCCTTAATATAATTATAGATTCAAGTTCAGCAGCACCTTAAAGACCAACTATATTTCCAGGGTATAAGCTTTTGAGTCACAGTTCCCTTCATCAGGTATCTGACAGTGAGCTTTGACTCTCAAAAGCTTATACCCTGGGAAATCTGTTGGTTTTTAAAGCAATACTGGACTTGAATCTTGCTGTTCTACTGCCAATCATCATGATGACCCACATGAAACTATCTTAATATAACCATGTATTTTCTACTCTGCAATGTTTTAAATGTGTTTTAGGAAGAAATTTAGGGGCTGCGGTGGCTCAGAGGTTAAGATGCTGAGTTGCAGACCGGAAGGTCGGCAGCTTGGCAGTTCGAGACCCTAGTGCTGTGTGATGGAGTGAGCTCCCATCTCTGGCCCCAGCTCCTGCCAACTTAGCAGTTTGAAAGCAAGAAATTGCACTTCGGTGGGAAGGTAACAGCATTCCGTGTGCCTCGGTGTTTAGTCATGCTGGCCACAGAAATGTCTTCGGACAGCGCTGGCTCTTTGGCTCTACTCTGCCACTCAATGAACGGAGATGAGCACTGCCCCCTAGAGTCGGATTCGACTGGCTTTCAAGCAAGGGAAACCTTTACCTTTACCTAGGAAGAAAATGCAGGAGTCAATCAAAACAGACAATAGTTTATTTACAACAGATAATAAGGGATACAGCATAGTAGAAGGCAAACGAAACAACTATCTATTATCGTTGGCAGCATATCTATTTTCAGTAGATTATTCCAAATGTTACACATTATGATTGATATTATCATCAAGTTAGTGCTGAATGACATAGTAATAATGAATATTTATGAAAAAAGATAGTGATACTTCAGTACTTTTCCAATTAATACCATGTCATAGGTCCCACAAGCAGTAGACTATCATTCACGTATCTCTAGAGAATCTGCTGTAAATGTGATTCTGATTTTGTATCCGAGACCTGATAACGGTCTGCTTGTAGCATCTCATTTTATTTATGGCAGCTTTGCATTTTCACTTGGTGGCTTCTTCTGCCTCTCTATGGGGCTTCTGACGCTTGTACCTTTAAGAAATGGAAAACTCTGCCTTCCCATTCAAAACATTTCAAACAAGCATTGTTGGGATTGATGGCATACATCCTTACAGTGGATATCCTGGCAAAACTACTGCCTTGTGTACTTATCATGCCAATTTAAATGGATACAATATAAGGCAAACATTTTTGTAGGGGGTTGCTATACATTTAAAAGAACAAGAAAAACATATAAAAAGTGATGCTCAGGCTGCTACATCTATCAGTTCAGCACTGGACTACTCTGCCTACTCTGCCACTCAATAAAAATTACTGTCATTCCAACATCTAAATTTTTTAATAATGTGCTTTTTTTCTTTGTCTGGCAAAAGTGGGAAAGACAAGAGGCTGGCAAGGCTGACTGTACAGACCAGGATGATCGCTACAAAAACCAGTCAGTCTTTACTCTAGCAAGTATGGTTACACAAAACATTGATTTCTCATTTTCTAAACAGTTTTCCATAGCCAGTGGATCTTTCAGTATCTGAATTACTTGCAAATGAGAAGAAAATGATCTATGAAAACACTCTGAACACATTATCCCACGTAGACTGATGTGAGTGAGCCAGCCCAGTTGACTCGTTATCTCCATCTTCAATGATGATTGGATTAGGAGGTCACACTTAAATCGGTTGCATATACTATCACAGTAAGCTTAGAGTATATCAGTTTCAGCATTAAACTAAACAAACTATCAGTAAACAACTACAGCCAATGCATTCAGAAAGAAATCTGAATGCTTGACATTTCCCGGCACCATCATGGGCGTTTGTGATATGTAAATGCAGCAAATAGCGAGGTGGTATTCAGATCTGACCAGTGAAAATTCTCATACATTTACAAACTTAGTGCCAGTGGCAATTTCTCTGCTTCCAGAATCACTGCCAAGCCTCCCTGCTGGTCTGATGTGCTATTCAAAGTCTGTTATATATAAAAGGTAAAGGTTTCCCTTGCTTGAAAGCCAGTCGAGTCTGACTCTAGGGTTGTGGTGCTCATCTCCATTTCAAAGCCGAAGAGCCAGCACTGTCTGAAGATGTTTCCGTGGTCATGTGGCCGGCATGACTAAACACCAAGGCGCACAGAACGCTGTTACCTTCCCACCGAAGTGGTACCTATTTATCTACTTGCAATTTCTTGCTTTCGAACTGCTAGGTTGGCAGGAGCTGGAACTAGAGACGGGAGCTCACTCCGTCATGCGGCAACTCGGGTCTCGAACTGCTGAACTACTGACCTTCCACAGCCTGCAGTTCAGCGTCTTAACCACTTGAGCCACCGCAGCTCCTCTGTTATATATACCAGGTTCTTAATTGGAACCTGTTTCTGCATCAGAAGCATCACAGGGTCAACTCAGAATTTTTACCAAAAGATGCTGGCGCTAAAAGGTGAAGCTGCTCTGCATCTCATGCTTGCTGTGTGAACAAAGTGGCAGGGATCCCCTTCAATGATCTCAAACACAAGATTAGCATGTTCAAATCTATTTGTAAAACAGCTCAATAAACCATTGAAATAACCTCTAAGCACGTCGACAACAAAATGTAAAATATAAACATGCACAGATGGAGTATTACCAAAATACAAAATTAAGGGGGTGGGGGAAATCATCGGGTACAAATACAGTAAAACAAAAACAGAAACCCGTTAAGCTACAGTGCTTAACCAATGTGTAACTGTTATGATACCAGTGCAAAACATTCTAGAAAGAGCATATATTCAACCTTTGAGGTTAAGGTAAAATAATTTTCTCCAGGCAATCAATTGTGAGATACCTTAAAGTCACCTTTGTACTGGAGAAAATATAAATAAGAAGGTGTGTTAAGATCACGTGATCAAATTTATTTCCCCTAAGCAAAAAGTTTTTTGCTGAATAGTCTATTTGACTATTGAAATTGCAAAGGACATGAGAATTGACACAATGATCACAGTCACTTAATGAATTCTGGCTGGTTTCTAAACTTCAGAGATACCATTTTTGAATGGCTCCAGTAAAAGGCACCATTTAAATTTTATTTTTCTCTTTAAAATAAAGGAAGAACTTTCTTTCCCAGGGTTATGAGGTACACATACTGGGCCTTGAGCCAGTAAAGTGCAGAGGTTCCTAAGTATACACACAGTGTCTCCACTGAAAGTATTCTGTGTGCATATGTCTTTGCATGCACATAATCACTATCCCCAGGAATGAAACTGCTCTGGTTATTACCATTTCTTATTGGATTAGATGTTTTCAGAGTGGTTCTATATTTTTGTCACATCTATTAATAAACCATTCCAAATGGATGATTCCTGCACAGAATATACCTCAGCCACAGTATAAGTCAATTCTGTTGGTGTTTGGAAATTGTAAACATTACTCCTTTTTGACCAAAAGCATTTGAAGTTCATAAATGGCAGACTTGCTGCTCAGCAACACAATGTTGCACAAATGTTGCAAGCTATTGCATCCCACTGTGTTGTAAGGCCACTGAAAATTCACAGATTCCACTTAACTGCTTCACAGATTTTGTTGTGACAACTGCACATGCCTTTGTTAGCTGTGGCTTTTCAGCACACGTACACTGAATGTACAGATGATGGAACACAGGTACCTGAATAACTGCCACACACGGTACATATTTTTTTCCTGCACAGAACAATTTCTGTGCGGGAAATCTGTAGTGTCTGAAGCAGCCCTAAAACAAGTCTTGTTAACAGTCAAAAGCAAAGCATCAGTTGTCAAAGTATTTCACAGCCAGTATTTTAAAAATAATTAATAAATGCCTTTTTGCTATTAATAAACAAATCACATGGTGAGCACAGTGGATAAGTAAGTTTAACATTTCAGTTATATAAACTTGGCACAGTATTTTTTTTAACTGGATAAGTGCACTGAAAACAGATCAACCTTCATCTTTCTACTGACATTTGGATATTTGCTGGATACCCTCCATCCATAGTGAAGCACTCTCAAATTCCTCTGATTTTAGTGTGGAGAGTTAAGCTTGTGCCTAGGGATTTCCCATTAGCAATGAAATCCTAAGCAGGTCTACTCCCAGGAAAGTGTTCTCATAATTACACCATAGAGTGCTTAACTTTGGCTGGACTGTGCCCATATTTTTGTTTCTTTTGAGATGAAATATGAAATTTTGTTGTTGTTTGTATATGCCCTCAAAGGTCTACTAATGTTATGTTGTAAACAACTGAAATTTCATATGAACTTTTTAAGGGAAGGATAATAAAGTGATGTATTCCTTATCGTCATCAACACCCTTCAGTTTTAAGATTATTAGTTATGATCGGAAAGGGTTTCTTTCTACTATGTGAAAGAAGAGTATAGAGAATTTAATGGAGGGAGTATGAGCCCCTGGAGGTAGCATCAATTTTAAAAGTTGACAGAATGGTTATTTTAGAATGGGATATAAAAAGCCAATGATTTGAAAGGATTTTTGTGTCCTCTATGTTGGCCTTGCTGTCTCTGAGCTTTTCATGGACTCTAACATTAAAATTCTAATCAGGATTGACAACAGGCAATTAAGTGTCAGAAGAACAATCTGATAGACACTGCTTTCTGTGTCTATAGGCATCTTCAGATAAACCTCATCTGTCAATCTGATTGTCAACAACTGCTATTTCCTACTTGGAATTGCCTGCATAAAAATGTATGCTTCTTCTAAAATTCACTTGGGACAGAGAAGGAACAGAAAGATTCCCTCTATCATAATCACCAATAGGAAGATTCTCAATTTGGAATAATCACTCAACATCGTTAACTGCTACCACTTCAACACAATGGGGGTTGTGGTCTGATAATTAATTGCTGCTATGATTTTAAGATGAGGTAGGGGCCTAATTTACAACAGATCTGTCTCTTTTATGGGTGGAAGGCTATCTGTGGGCAAGGTAGTAGGCCGTTCTCTGCTTTCAGTGCTCCTTGCTAGTCATACAGATGACAGCACCTCGTTTGTTGGGTCTCTTCCCTTCTTATCTTCACCCTTCTCAATGTCAATGACGTGGACCATTCCAGGCTTCAAGAGGAAATCATCTGTCTCCACCTGGCTCCTGGTGTCTTCTACTTCTATGTATTTCCCTTTGGACTGCTGACTTGTTTTAGTGAAGGCCTCTTTGAAACGCTGCTTGAGCTCAGCATCGGGACAGTAGATGTATTCATAAAGGGCAGCTGCAAGGACTGCTCCTATGACTGGTCCTACCCAATATATCTGCATGAAATGTGGAACAGAAACACAGAAGATCATGTAGTAAGAGCAATGGTCCCAATAAAACTGTAGGTTACAGACAAGGATCATCTTGCACAAAACCTGAAGGATAGGGTTGATGCCTCCTCCAGCACTGCTACAAAAATGTGCAAAGCATCTACCCATATAGTTGCATGCTTGCATAACACACTTCCTAGGGGGTACCTGTCACTTGCATATTATGTTAGCCAAACCACATGAAGGAGAAAAATTTTCTATGTTCCAGGTCCTGTGTCCTTATAAACAAGCACACAAAGCATGATGATACAGTCATACTTTATACAAAAGAATCCCGAGTATGCTGAACAAGAAAGATACCTGGTATTCTTATGAGTTTTGATGGAATCCTGGCCCGTTATCTGTCTTGGAAGCTCCCTATTTATCAAACTGCACCCATAAAATATAAAAGAAATTAAACAGAATGGCACTAAGGGTGTCTCAAGAAGTTTACTAACGTGTGCTACACAAACCCCAAAAATGTGCTGGTGAACAATTGAGCTCATATGCTATCACAGACACAGGTACGTTTCCTGCACAGAAATCCTGCCAAATTTAGGGAGACCCCTCTCACACAGGCTGTCCTATCTGATGATTCAAGTTCTATACTGATTCAGTTTCAATAAAAAAATCAAAGTTTTGTCTTCAGAGTATATCAATTTAAATCAAGGCAATATAAATCAGAAGACACCCCCCCACACACAAAAGCCCCAAAATCAAGCCTCCCTATAATTATCTAAATATTTCCTAAATAAAAATTCCTGTAATTTGCTGCTGTAACCATAAAATCAGGAGCAGCATTTCATAGGGCATCTGGAGCTGCAGAGCGAAAGGTCCCCCCCCCCTGCAAAAGTACTCCACGGACGGAAACCTTTCTTTCAACAGAGATTTTCAGCAAAGATCTACGCTGTAACTAAAATGTGCTTCTTCTTTCTATGGTTCATTTCTTCTTTAGTCTGTCCCTTCTCCTTTGTCATGTAACTGCCCTACCCTGGTCTGCAAAAGTAAACAGTCTCACCTAGAAGCAAGGGCTAGTTGCGGTTCCTGGGCAAAATGGATGGATCGACAGGCAATACCTGTGGTGATTTGCTGGTCCCTGCTCCCCCCCCCCCCCACCCCCAGCCCAAAATACCAGCACACAGTGTTCCCTCTAAGCTGAGTTAGTGTGAGCTAGCTCACAGTTTTTTTAGCCTCCGGCTCACACATTTTTGTCTTAGCTCAGGAAGGATGGCTCCAGAGCAAACTAATTCATGCAGTAGCTAAATCGCTTGCTCACAACTTAAATGCCAGTAGCTCACAAAGTAGAATTTTTGCTCACAAGACTCCACAGCTTAGAGGGAGCATATGATGCCCAACAAAGATGATTTCCTCACAGTTCTTTCTCTAGGAAGAAAAACAACTTTATCATAAGTTCATAACAGAGACACCTGTTCAGGTTTAAGATGTTACATTTTTAGATGTTAGATTTCATTTTAAATCAGGTCATTTTAAAAAGAAATACTTAGTGTTTTAAAATACTGCTTTGAAATTATTATTTTTTAAAATTATTGATTACCTGTTCTCATTTGTATTCATTTAAAGAACTACAAAACATATGAAACAAAACTGCAGTATAGTGCTTCTCATTCACAGTTATAATCTCTATGGAAATAATTTTTTTAGAGCAAACATGAGTAACATTTTCAATTATTTGTTGCTCTGTTAAAATAAGAAGTATTTAAGTATCACTTACCCAGTGGTGTTCCCATTTTCCCATGATAACGGCAGGTCCAAATGACCTAGCAGGGTTCATGCTGGCACCTGTGTAGTTGATCTGCATTAAATATATATATATATATTTCTTTGTAAGGATTATTATAAATCATTATTATGCAATACCAATGTTTAGCACCTGAAGGGGACAGAAAGCACTCCTCAGTAAGCTGGGCCAGGAAAATGGGTATGAAGAAGAGGCAGCACGGGAGACAAGCTACAGGACTGCAAGCTGAGCCTTCCCAGGGCTGTGAGCATACCTCTAGGATCCCTCATAGCACAGCTGCTGCTATCACTGGCCAAGCGTCAATCCTTCCAGGCAGCCTGGGTATATCCCTCATGGTGCCAGAGGCAATTTGATTTTGATCAAGAGTACTCCACGAGGCAGACTGATTTGTACTGTTTGTCAAGGAGGAATCCACCCAAAGACCTTGCAACAGGGAAGAACTGAGTCCACTGAGTGAACCTATAGCAGTGAACCAAAGCTAGTATTTAAAAGAGTACAGGTCTTGAAGTGCCCATGTACAAGTGTCTAGAAACCCAGACTTGGTCAGGGTTCTTAGAACAAGTGTTTGAAGAGACATGTATCTGAATCTAACAGTCCATGCTTTATGTGTTTGTTGCAGTAAACAATAGTGTGGCATTGGCTTTCACTAGCACAATCAAACACACAGAATTGCCCCAAGGGCCAAATCACATGTTATGATGGATCAGATTTCCCAACCTATTCTGTGTTGTTTCTTTTTATTATTATTAGTCGTTCTGAACAGCAGCTGCTGGGTTCTCCAGTTCAGACGAGGAGCCTGATTCTAGGTGGCTGGTGGTGAACTCTCTCCTGATCAAAACTACCCCACTGGCTGCACTTAACCCAGCAAGAAAAGTAGACAGGGGGAAAGAAGACTTTGCCACAGCTGCTTTTAAGTTTGAAAACACATCTGGAGAGCCTATCATGGCTCTTCCAACATAATCTAAAAGCAACCCGACAGTTCAGGTCAATATCCCCCCCACAAATGCTGGTGACAGGAGGAGAAGCTAAAGACACTTTCCTACTTAGTAAGTTTATGGGGGAAACAAGATTTGCACAATGAACACTGCCTCTTCTCTCCACAAGAAGCTGTAGCTTAAACTCTAAACTACAACACTCTGCAGCAATCCTGTAAGATGAGTCAGGATTTTTCCTACTAGGTGAATTCAAAGATACTTGAATACACACAAAACTGTTTTTCCAGTGAAACCTATTCAGATTTTCCTGGGATCATGCATGAACCATTTTATGCTTTGCAATACTAACTGGCTACATAACATTTACGTCAAGTTATTCAGCAAAAGGAGAGAATAATGGCTTGTTTAATACTCCCAGAGAAACCAGCTACTTACAGCAAACAAGTGTCCGATTGCAACTGACAGTCCAATTGCTAATGCCACTGAACCTGTGACATCGCTTCGTTTTGAATCACAGCTCGCAAAAATAGTGAAAACCAGCTGGAATGTAATGATCAACTCCACCAGTAGTCCATGGCCAGCGGAAAGGTCTTTATGTACCTAGCAAAAAGAAGCACACTAGAGATCTGGGAAACATGAAGAATACACAGAAACGAAAACATCATTTTCTCCCCATTGATTAAATCCATTTCAAATTAAATGAGTAAGGAAAACAGGGTTGCACTTACTTGTAACGGTGGTTTGTTGAGTTGTCTGCTGTGCAGGCACACACTGGGGACTGCACTTGCACAAGCCTGCTGATGAAGAAATTTTCTAGCTTCTCAGGAATAGAGAGGGTGCTCCCCCTTGGTGCATGCCCAGAGCGTTCTCAGCAAAACTGCACCAAGGATGATGGGTGCCATTTTCCCTCAATCCTTCCATACCTCCGAGCCCCCCTGCAGCACAAAGCACAGCCACAGAAAGAGTTCACAGTGGGGCAGGAGGGAGGGAATGTGTGTCTGCACAGAAGACGACTCGATGAACAATGCTTATAGGTAAGTGCAACCCTGTTTTCATCTTCAGTCTTCTGTGCAGTCCCACATTGAGAAGAATAACAAGCTACTCACCTGGCGGTAAGTGTAGAGCTCTAGTCAAGCAGGACTGCCCTGCCCACTCCTGCATCCCTCAGTGGCGTAATGCTGGATGAAGGTGTCCTCTGATGACCAGGCAGCGGCTCTGCAGATCTCACACAATGGGACTCCTCTGCGGAAGGCTGCAGCTGCAGAGGAAGCTTGTGCCCTAGTGGAGTGAGCTCAAAGGACAAGGGACTGGATGAAGGGACAGAACCCTTCCCCTTTACCCAGAAAAATGGTCCCATTTCTGGTTGTAGTAGTTCCAATTCCAATAACTTTTATTGGCATAACAATAACTTTAAAAGAAAAGATAACAGTACAAATCAGCCCATATGCCAACATAGAGAAACAGAGTACAGTGATTTGTAACATTGTATATGGTAATAATAATAGGGCAAAGTGATAAAAGTTCGGAACAGTAATCTCGAGTATCACAGTAATTAAAACAGTTACAGTAAGAAGCTTGACTATCCGAAGAGGAATCATAGATACATCTTATCTCTCTCACTCTCTCTACCTCCTTTTCTCTTCCTCTTCCCTTTTTTCTTCCCTCTGTTTCTTGGCCCCTAAGTACATTTGCCAGAAACTCTGCCACATGTTCAGTAACTTTGGGGGTTTTGTCCGCTAGCAAGAATTCAATACCTCTATTGGTTGCAGAGAGTTGAAGGCGAGGGCTAATCAAGTGTAAACGTAGCGGAGTAAACAGTGGGCAGTTTAAGAGAATATGCTGAACAGAGTCAGGTTCTTTGCAGAGACATCTGCAGAGTCTTGCCTCATAAGGGATGCCCTTGTATCTGCCTGTGACCATGGCTGAGGGAAATATATTGAATCTGGCCAGCATAAATGCTTTGTGTTGAGAAGGGATTAAGTTTGAAAAGTACTGAGCCATAGGGTTTTGTGGGAAAGCAAGACCCAGGAAATGGGGGGAACAAGTCCCTTCTGCTCCAGCTTTTATTAATTGTAAATCTATACCCTGAAGTCTCCTTTGAATTATTTGGAATATATAGGATTCATTGGAATTAATTTTTGCCCTTATTAATTGGGACCATTTAGAAACATACAGATCAGCAGTTAGAAAAGCGATAAGACTATTTGGAGGAGGTTGAAAATAAAGATGTAACCAGTATTTGATGGCAGCGATCCAAGCTCTAGATTCTATGGTATAGAGACTCAACTCAACATACAAAGTAGAATAACTGAGTTGGGAATGCCAAGAATACGACGCAGAAAGATTGCATTAACTCATTCCACTTTTTAATTAAAGTCCTGAATCCACACAGGAATCCCATACAGTAATTGGGGAATCACTGTAGTCTGAAAAATCCGTAGGGCGGCCGGGAAAAAATTGGTTACCTTTTTGATAGTGAAAATGGGCTATAGCAGCCATCTTGTTCTTAGCTAAGCTAAGAGAGTGTTCCTAATGCATGGACCATTTTAGTATAATGAAAGAGAATACCGAAGTATCTAAAAGAAACGTGTTCAATTTCTCTTCCATCAATCTTACAGACAGAATGCCTCAATGATTTAGAAACTACCAAAATTTTAGTCTTATCAAAATTAATAAATAAGGAGTTCTGGTTAGAGAATGAAATAAATGCTGATAGGGAGCGGTTTAATCCTATTTTAATCAAAGAAAGAACTGCTGCATCGTCCACATATAATAAGGTAGGAACCAAGGCTGAGTTTAATTTGGGAGTGTGTCCATCAATTTTAGCCAAATACGAAGGGAGATATGAAAGGAACAAATTAAACAGAAAGGGGGCTAAAACACAACCCTGCTTTACACCCTTGGTCACAGGAATTTTTTGTATTAAGGAGCCTCTGTCATCAAATCTAACCTGACAAGTGTTAGAGAGATGAAATGTATGCAACAAAAACAGAAGGTGTTTGTCAAGGTCCAATTTGTGTAATTTTCCCCACAGAATCTGTCTATCGACTGAGTCAAAGGCTCTACGGAAATCAATAAATGCAATGTATAACTTGCCTCTAGGGTGTCGGATATATTTTTCAGCTAAAAAAGATACTGCTACACAATGATATAAAGTACAGTGGTTTGTTACAAATCCAATTTGCTCTCTCCCTGGTAAATTATGAAAAGTCATTCACTCAGATAATTTCTTAAGAAGATGTTTAGCATAATCTTTCCCTAGAGTAGTCAAGAGACTAATGGGTCTATAGTTCTCTAGGTTGTTAGGGTCACCTTTTTTGAAGATCGGAATTATTATGGAATTTAACCATGATTCTGGTAATGTACCAAATTTATCAATTAATGTGAAGAGATGTGCAAGAGAATGAGACCACCATTCAATATTGTTCTTCATGAGCTCAGCAGATAGGCCATGGGGCCCGGGGATTGTAGTACTTACAGGTTGAGAACTTTTGAGAGTGGAGCAGTCTTATAAGTCTTATGACTGTTTGTGGGTCAGACTATCATGACTGTTGGCTTTATACTTGTTTAGCCAAAAGGGGGCAACCAGAATGCAGTGAGTGCCCTGAGCCAAACTCCACCCAGCACTCTCTCTTTGAGAGACCCCTCCCATCCAGGGAATCTGAAATGCATCCCCTAGGGACTGCACATCATGGCCCGCCCAGGAACAGAAAAGTGCTTCCTTCACATTCTGCAAGTGGCAAACAGGTGTACTGTTGGGAGACCCCACTGCTGGAAGACTCGAAGGATGTACTCCCTGGACAGTGACCACTTGTGGTGAAGAAGGGTGAACCTGCTCAGTGCATACACCATAGTATTGTGGGCCCCAAAAATATGAATCGCATGGAGGAAAACTTTGTTGTAGTTTCCTCAATTCCAGATCTTTTCCGTTCTCCACAGAGACAATGACCTTGTGCCCCCCTGCTTGTTGACATAAAACATGGCCATGGTGTTGTCTGTATGCATGTGTTCATTGTGGAGTAAGTCTGCAAAAGAAGCAATAGTATCACTAATTGCCCTTAGTTCAAGAAACTTGATATGCATGGAGGACTCAAAGGCAGACCACACCCCCTATACCATAAAATCACAGCAAGAAGAACCCCAGCCAAAAAGGGAGGCTTCTTTTTTAAAAAATATTTTCCAAGATTTATTACAAAAATCACATAACTTGTTACTACAAATTGTAGTAATTACAACAAGGAATAATTGGGATCAGGGCAAAAATCTCCTTTACAGTTATAATCTAAATCAAAAAGGGAGGCTTCTGCGGTGACTGTCTAGGTATGGAGATGCACTCCAAATGGAACCCCAACATACATCTTGACAGGGATCTAATGATAGCTCTGGACACAGACAGAAGAGTAGGTTGTGCCTGAGAGGATGGGTTGAATTTTCTCAAAAAACAGTTTTGCAATGGGTGTGTTGTCTGACCAAGGGATCCACAGCAGTAGTAGAGGCCATAAGGCTCAGAAGCTGTTGCACCTGTAGTGCGGACTGAAAACGATTCAATTAGAAACTGGAGATTAAGGCTCAAATCACATGAAGGTGGTTAGGGATGGACAGGCCCACCCCTTAACAGAATCCAGATCTGCACCAATAAAACCTGCTAGCTCACAAGGGGTCAGATTAGATTTCTTTCAATTAACTGCCAATGCCAATCTGGTTACCATTGCCAAGGTCAGAGACAAGTGGTCTTTCGATGGAGCAGTTAGCAGCCAGTCATCCAACAGGGAAAGACAGAGCAACTCTCCAACCTCAGGAATGCAATGACTACACCCATACTTAGTGAAAACACAGGGTGCAAGGACAAAGGGGAGAATGGTATATGACTACACCCATACTTAGTGAAAACACACAGGGTGCAAGGGGAGAATGGTAAACCGATAAAATGAGCCACCGCACTGAAAGTGGAGATATTTTCAGTGGTCTGGAAGAATTGAGATATGGAATAAGCGATGAGCCACCGCACTGAAAGTGGAGATATGGAATAAGTGTCTTTTAAATCCAAGACTACAAACCACCAATTTAATTTTAGCAAGAGAAAGAGGAACCATCCAGAACTTTTTAACGAACAATGACTTTTAAAGTTACGCAGGTCAAGAATAGGGCATAGACTGCCATCCTTCTTAGGGACAGAAAAATACGGGGAGTAACCCCCCCTGCCAACTATTGAATCAGGAACTAACTGAACAGCACCCTTTCAGACAAGCTCTAACACTGCGTCAAGCAGGTGAGCCTCACTGGTCTCCTCCCTACTAAGAGGGGAAGGGCCCAAGGAGGGCATCTGTATAAATGCCAACCTGTTGCCACTTTCAATAGTAGCCAGATCCCAGGCATCAGAGGTGATCTTCCGCCATTCACTAAGAAAAGGAGACAGTCTGTCCTGGAAGAAAAAGGTGGACGATGGTGTGCTGCCATATAGGCAGAACAGTGCTTTCTGCTCCTGCTCCATAGGAGTGTGAGACTGGGGGGAGCTTCGACCCAGCTCTGGTGGGTTGACGTCTGCCATACAACTGGGCTGAGAAATGGTGGTTATGTCCAAAATAAGAAGAGGAAGGCGAGGTGGTAGGAGTCCCCTTCTGATACCTCGGCTGGTGGTAGGCGCAATCCCTCGAGTGAAGTGCTGCCTAGTGGGCTGTGACAGACCCAATGTCACACCCAATGACTTTGCTGTTTGCTTGTTCTTTTTAATCTGCTTCAAGGTCTCGTCCATTTTGACCGTGAACAGCTGGTCTCCTTCAAAAAATAAGTCCTCTATTTTAGTACATGGATCTGGAGACAGGGCAGTAAAACACAGCCATGTGAGACGCAGGAAGGCAATGCTGGATGCCATAGATCCTGCAGAACAGTCCGCTGCATGCTTGCCTGCATTCATTTACTGCTTTGCCAGATGCATCATTTCAGCACGCAGGATCTGGACCACTGAGTTATGTTCCCCAGGAAGGGAGTCAAAGTGCGGCGCTACCCAATCCCAAAGGAAGAGTTGATAGGCAGCCATTGTAGCCTGATAATTAGTTATTCTGAAATTCAACACACCGGCTGAATAGAGTTTCTGGCCCATAGACTCAATCCTGTGGCACTCCTTATCCACAGGGGCAGAGTGGGAACCATGGAGGTGCTTGGCTTGATTTACCGTCCAATGGGATGTCGATGGAATAAAGGACAGTTTTTCCCACAAACCCTTAGCCATGTTGAGAAAATCTTCCAGGACAGGAAGGGCAATGGAGATAGGAGCATTGGAGTAAAGCACTGAGAGGATTTTATGCTTAGGTTTCAGGTTAGAGGAGACAACCTCAAGCTTCAAAGATTTAGCAATCCTAATCATTTGTTTGGAGAAGAGACGCAGATCTTCAGTTGGGGACATTGGCATAGCATCCCCTACGGCTTCGTCAGGAGAGGAATCAGTAGCTAATCCCAAACCTAGATTAGAATGGTAGCCCTCCTCCTGTTTGCTGTTCATCAGAAGCTTGGGGTCCTGGGTAGAAGTAGGAACCTAAAGAGGAAGCTAACGCATGCTTACGAGAGGCAATCGGATTTGAAAGAAGTGGGTTGCATCAAAGCTGTGGGTATAGTGGATAGGTAGGCCAAGAACCTTGCTGGTACGGGACCTGCCAGGGTCCACCCCACCAGGGTTGTGGGAAGGCACAAACTGTGTGTCTTGCTGTGTTGGAACCAATGACTGGGGAGCTGGAGGTGGCTTCCCCCAATATATTGGCCCTGCTGGAACTGACAGAGGTTTGACCTCTGAGTCCGACCAATGGGGTCCTCAAAATGAGACAAAGGTGTACAAGGAATCAAAGAAGGGTCTTCCAAAAGAGTGGAGTCTTGGATGGTCTATCAGGGTGCTTGGAGCGGCTCTGGACAGAAGTCTTGCTTAAGTGCTTGGACTTTGAGTGCACTTCTTTGATGGAGGTTCAGAAGAGCTCCGTTGAGCCATAGACAGTTCTGGAGATCGGGAACAATAATAGAAGAAGAAATTGGATTTATACCCCGCCCTTCACTTGGAGTCTCAGAGCGGCTTACAAACTCCTTTTCCCTTCCCCTCCCCACAACAGACACCCTGTGAGGTGGGTGGGGCTGAGAGAGCTCTGACACAAACTGCTCTTTTTCAAGGACAGCTGTGCCAGAGCTTGTGACTGACCCAAGGTCACATCAGCAGGTGCAAGTGGAGGAGTGGGGATAATGATATGTATCCGAGGTCGGAACCAACCTAGGTGATACCAACAATTCAGCCCTTGGAATGGGTTCACGCGAGGCAGAGGGTGCCCTGGCCTTGCAGACAGAGGTGTCAAGAGTGTGCTCATTTGAGTGAGGCATTTTAGTGCTACATTGAAGGCACTTCTTAAGTAGAGGTTTCGGGGCCATGACAGAGGCACACAGCCAAAAGGAGAATCAGACCTGTTGGAATTGGCAGTCCCATGAAGAATCAGAAGAGTAAGTAAAGATAAACGTCAGAAAAACAGGAGTGAAGCTAGAAGTGTTCCTCTCAGCTCGGCAGCAAAGAGGAACTGAGGGAAAATGGTACCTCTCATCCTTGGCATGGTTTCAGTGGGAACGCTCTGGGCATGAGCTGAAGGGAGGGGCACCGTATTTGTTCCTGAGAAGCTAGAAAACGTCTCTGTTGGCACGCCTGCGTAAATGCAGTCCCCAATGCGGGACTGCACACAAGACCAAGGAGTGACTTTAACCCCTTTAAAATAAAATCACACTCCACACTGCAGTGGAGCTTGACAGATGCCACAATGCAAGGAACTGAAGTTGCTTTAGTCTGGTGCATTGCCTTTATGGCTAATGTACAGTTCCTCCCATCTACAGGCTAGTATGGTGTTGAGTGTTTAAAAATTAACTCCATACAGATGGGTCAAATCATTCCTGGGGATACAATCACAAAGAAGCAGCACCATCTGACCAGATGCACTCTCCTGCATACAGCCATTGCGATTCACTAGGTACTCTCCTGCATACAGCCATTGCGATTCATCTGATAGTGCATCACAGCTCCACACTAGAATAACTGAGATGCTCCATTTGTTAATGTCTGAAGCAGTTCAAAGCACTGCAGTGATGGGAATTACATTTAATGGTGCCCTGCTTCAGAAATCTTTAAAAAATCAAAGCCCTGTCCCTGTTGTGTTGATGGCCACACTGTGTAGCTGTGAAGCTAATGTGACAATTTTGTACATGTTGTATTGACTTTTAACAGTTGGCATGGCTTTACTCTAAGCACTCCTGCACTATCACAGCAAGGCTAAGAATCAGCTTATCATATGTATGACAGATGGTTCCCCGACTATCACAGCAAGGCTAAGAATCAGCTTTTTAATCATTATCATATGTATGACAGATGGTTCCCAGATTGGAGCTGGCGCAAGCTGCACTTCATTCTATTCGTACATTGCAAGAATCCAGAGAACGTTTCTTTCAGTGTGGCCTTCAGTGTGCTTTTTTTTCTCCTTAGGAGGACTATAATTTAGTGTTCTATTATAAATCCATTAATTAGCCCTAACTCAATTAATTCCTATTTCAATTAAAAACAGGCAGCAGGAAGCTCAAGTGCATGTTAATAGGTCCTGCAGCGGGACTGATGGGGATCCTTTACTAGCAGAGAACAAAGCTGAACTCTGAGGCACGGCCTGTTTTAAAGAACCATGTCATCTTGATGGAGCTTTCAGTCACCATCATAATGGCATTGATTTTTTTTAACAGTCCCAATCATTTCATCTCAAAATCTCATTTCACGTCTATTTGTTCTATGTGCAATTAAATGATTTCTGAAAGTTCTAAAAATATCTGTCAAAGAAGAATTGTCACGCACAAAGTAATGTCTGTCTGTATGATAAAACAAGGGCATTTGCAGAAACCACTTAATGTTAAACCCATTCATTGGGAAGTGATCCACATGGCAGTCCACTGCAAGGCGGCTGCCTGAATATCATCTCAGGGATTAAAAAATGGCCATGTAAAATTCGATAAGAAACCATCACCTCAAGACCCTGTCTCAAAATACCTAAATATAGATTACTTTATTCCCTACCACCCATAATCTTCCCTTGGTTTATACAACGTTCGAATAAACATGGCATCTTATCCTTTGAATTCATGCCAACGGTTTATTTTTATAAGTCTAAACTAGTATTTTCATATTTGAAGTTTAAACCAACTGGTGCTATTTATAAATCACTGTTAATATGCAAGACAAAACAGGAGAGGATTTGTAATGCCAATGTGCCTCTTTACCAATATACATGTAAATATAATGGAAAAGTAAAACTATTCTGCCAAAAATGCTCACTGGCATTACAAACTGATCAAAACAAGACCTGTCTTAAGCCTCACCAATAAAAAAAACAAAACTCAGAATCTTTCTCTGTGAATTAAGTCATTCTGTTTTCAAACTACAAACCACATGAACAAGCTGGAGTCAATGTTTGGGCTTACACGCTTCCTTTCCCCTCCTCTTCACTCTTGTCCTCATGCTTACCTTACAGACATCCATGGCAAACAAAGCACATTATTATATACAAATTAGAAAGAAAGGTTTGGTCTCTCTCCTCCAAACCAGGATTCTAAATAGATATTAAACCACAGTTTAGAACTGTGGCCTGGAGAAGGGATCAAATGATACTTTGAGGTTCAGTTTAAATGCTGAACTACAGCATGCTCCCAAAATCTATGTGCTTAATCCTCAAGGCACTGGGTGTGTATGCAAGGCTGAGGATCAATTCTTTTTTACATCTGTGGCTTGTTATCATGTTCTCTGAAGAAGTTTGCCTTTCTGGCAAAACAAGTTATGGGAACATTTTGTCTATGGGAAAATGACCTGCCGAGCCTTTCTGGCAAAACAAGTTATGGGAACCTGCCAACAAACACAATGGAATGCCAAAACATTTCGGGCAGTTTGGTTCCCAGTGGTTCAATATCTTGCAGAAGGTGACATTATCCCAAAGAATGAGCACCTCCAGAATTTACTGTACTTTTGAAATAGGTTATTATAATCTCATGATATTGGAACTGACAGTCAATACTGACCTGTTATAAGCTATGTTAATTCCACAGTTATTTTGTAGATCGTCGTAGCACTGTGTTTTTGTTGTTAAGTGTACTGTTATATTTTGTCACATTGTCTGACAAATAAAAATTTGAATTAAAAAAAAGAAGTTTGCCTTTCTATCACTTGATCTCTTGAATCATAGCCAAAACCCGTGCTAAGTAGTATTACCCATCATCCCTAGTGACTGCAGTTACATAACAATAGGCGATCCCTAGATTTCAGTTACAGAACATGCATGTGCTAATGTTTGTTGGTTATGTTTCATAATAACAAGAGAAAATTTGTTTACCGAGGTGACTCCCAAGGTCCCTACCACACTCCTGGGAGTAACAAGGTAGAGAATTCCTGCCCCTGCAATAGCACCCAGACACTGCGCTGCAATATAGAAGACTGACTTGGCAAGGCTGATCTTCCTAGTGCAGACCATAGCAACAGTCACTGCAGGGTTAATGTGGCCACCACTGATGTGTCCAATGCACTGCACCATCGTGGCAATGCTAAGTCCAAAGCAGAGAGAGATAAGGACCATATCTACAGGTAGAGGTTTCTCAGCTACACCCCAGTTGATTGTGGAGCCAAGGCTCAGGAGGACAAATATAAGCATTGCCACAAATTCTGCTGAAACAGCTTTCCAGAAGGCCTGAGTCCAGATGCCTTTGAATGCCGCCATGATGGCCTCACACTTACAGAGACGTCCACACTTGCTGAAAAGGAAAACAAAAGCAGCATCAGAAGCTACCCTGCAGCCCTCAGGTTTCTCCAAGCAATTACTGCATCACCTGTAAACTTACCAGCAATGGTGAGAGACACAGAGGAGGTAGGGCTAACATTTTATGAGTTGCTACATCAAGTTTGGCCAATCAAGTTTATTTGGAGGAAGGAGAGATGAAGCCTTCCCCCCACCCTGGTACCCACTTGTATTTGCCACACTATTCCCTAATATGAACTCACTGCAAAGGGAAAGCACAAGAAACATGTCTGGTCTGCGCACCTAAAATGAGCACATCTCTATGATGCCTTGAGAAGAAGAGATCAGGATTACATTCTTCTTCTAACACCAGAAAGAGCATTCAGGAAGCCAGAGCTGGCTCCAAAGGGCAGCAAAACTGGACATTTGGTAGAGCCGAAACACCATCCCAACTGTGCTGCCATTTTTACTTTCAGAGTCACCTCAGGAAAGTCAAAGACAACTTGAAATAATTCTTGATTTGCACATTCCACTTCTCTCAGGCAAAAGGGGTCCACAGCTGGAGCCTTGCAAGATAGCCCTCCACATCCTGGTGTCAGGACTAGGGATGGGCACAAACTGGGAAAATGGAGGTTCATGGTGGTTCATGAACCACAAACCTCTCCATTTAATGAACTGGTTCATGGTTTGTGAGGTTCGTGGCATGGTAGAACAGCCCCCTGTGGGCAAGAGATGCCAAAATCGCAGCGAGTCTCCAGCTGACTCTTCTCTATCTGACTCCAAGTTTGGTGAGGATTGGATTGGGGGGGCAAGTTGCAGCCTGCAAAGCAAGTGCCCCCAGGAAAGTGCACTCTTAGGATTGTGTTGAATGGACCCCTGCAAGCTGGAGACATCAAACTTGCTGAGGACCTCTCTGGGATGCCCCTCTACCTGCCCTCCAAGTTTGAGATTGGCTGTGGGGGAGGTGAGTAGTGGCCCTCCAAAACAGTGCTCTCTGGGGAAATCACAGCCTGGACAATTGATTCATCAGCACCAGCATGTCTGGCCCTCAAACCACTCCCATGAACCCCCATTAAAACCTTTCGGTTTCTGGGTGGTTTGTAGGGATCCCAAGTCCCCCCGGGAGGCGAGGAAACCCCCGCCCCAGAGGCCAGTTCCCCAGCGCTGCCGGATCGGGCCCCGGGGGGAACTCCTCCTCGATGTGCACGTCACCCGGAAGTGACGCGGGCACACCGGGCACACTGGGGGCGGGGCCACGGACATACAAGGGAAAACTCTATGGTTTTCCCTTGTATGGTCGTGGCCCCGCCCCCAGCGTGGTCAGCGTCGTAACGTCACTTCCTGGTGACGTACATGCGGTGCTCCGGGATCCACCCGGGAGTCCCCTGCCACCAAGGTAAGTTCCACTTGGCAACCCTAGTGGTTTGTGGGAGACGTGATCGCACAAACCAAGGCTAGCGAACCACAAACCGGGCACAGTTCATGACAAATTTTGGTTCATAATTTGGTTCATGTGCATCTCTAGTCTGGACAGCCTTCAGACCTAGTCTGGGGTCGGGGAGAGATGTTTCCACTGGAATACTCATTGCTTCTGCTTTCACATCCCTGATATTTTAGGAGGAAAGAGAGACATGATTCTTTTCAGAATGATAATGGGATAATTCCCACTGCAACATGATTCTCAAGTGCACTGCTTTAATTTTCCCCAGTGGAATGAATGTCAGCCATTCACTGATATGAAGTACAACTTCATGTCACAAAGGGACACGTAAAATCCAATGCATGCAGGCCCAGATCATGGAATTAATGATACAGACCCTGGAAAACAGCAGTCTCATCTGCGGGGAAATGGGAAGACCTGGTGTTATGTAGTGGGTAACCGCCCGAACGAACGACAGAAGACGTGAGGGTGCATAGCACGCTTTATTAGGTACACAACAAGAGAGCATCACAACGGCCGGCAGGCCAACTATATACACGGCCGGGGGGCCACCCCTGGGCCCTATTGGCGGGTTTGAATCTCCCGCCACGGTCCCATTGGTTCCCCCCAGTGGAGGGACTAGGATCCTAGTCCCCATTGTTGTCCCGGGCTGAAGCTCAGGCGTGTGCGCTGACCTCCTGTGGTGGTCAGTGGACACAACACCTGGACACTGATTTCTCTCCTCCACTGAAGAATAGGGAGTCAGGACTTTGAAGACTTTGAAAATTTATCAGGGATCTCCTAGTATCTGATCCTTTAAATCTAAAAGCCTTGGCAGTAAAGCCTGCTCTTCCTAACCCATTGGGTTAAGATGGTCTTCCAGCCCTGGCCACACAGCCCCCCCCCCATTTCTGACCACCAAGATTGTTGGAAATGATAGATCAGCAGAGAGATGGTCCTGCACTGGTTAAGTGCCTAGTTTATGGTCCGTATTCATGCCACAAAACAAGACTGCTTTCCCCACATCTATAGTTCCTTGAAATATCAGAACCAACTCTTTGCAGGGTGAGGTTGCAGAGATGACACAGAAAGGACGGAGCTACTTCTGTCTAAATTTATTCATGTATTTAATTCACCTCATTCATACTCCAACTTTTTCGTCAATGAGGATCCAAAGCAGCTCACATCATTTCCCTCTCCTCCACTTTATCATCACAACAATCCTGCTGAGGCTGAGAACTTGTGACTGGCCAGGGTCACCCAGTAAATGCCTGCGGCAAAGTGGGCATTCAAACCTGTGTCTCCCCAAGACTAGTCTGACACTCTAACCACTGTACCACGCTGGAGCTATTTAAGCCTCCGTCCTTGCTGGTTTGAGTATATCAGCTCATAAGCTACAATTCCCTCCTTCCAGACACCTGATCAAGATCTCAGTTCTGCCCACAGGACAGCTCAGGTGTAGAGTGCCCAGTCAGTATGTTTCTCCCACGCAATATTTGATTCATGTTCAAAAAGAGCTGTTTTCTTGCTCCTGTCTCCCAGGAGTTGGGGCAGAATAGTTAAGTTCTAGATTTCATCTGAAACACTGGTTGATATGGGCCTAAGCACACTCAGTTTTATGGAAAATCCAGGGCATATAGGCACATTTCATCTAACCAATATTCCAGATGAAGCTGTACCATACTTAAATGGGCCACACATACATGGACACCTGAGGCATGGGGGGGGGGGAGAGAGAGATACACCAGCTGGTTCTTATTCCTCACCATGCAGAGGTCATGGATCCAAGTAAAGATTTCATCAGGGCCCATGACTTGCTAAAAGACTGAGGACTTTTACATGTAGGCACCTTACTATGTGGATCCAAGTAAAGATTTCATCAGGGCCCCTGACTTGCTAAAGGACTGAGGACTTTTTACATGGCACCTTACTATGTCTGCAAACAGTGGCACTGTTCAGGATCTGCAGTCAATGGCACTTTTCTGCAAACAATGGCACTGTTCAGGATCTGTTACCTCAGTGAGCCTGGACAGTGACCAGTGTAAATTAGGCATGCCAGGGAACTGACTTTGGCCATGCTATACTTAGGACTCTTACTCTGTGGGAGGCTCTGTTTTCCAACTTTAGGCCTAAGTCTTTCATGCCTCCCACCTTCACTGTTCCCCATTACTGTTTGCCCTTCATGTTCTCCTGCCTGACTTTCTGTAACAACCCTATTTTGCTTCCCAGTCTCACTATAGGACTGCAGAGAAGTTATCTCATTTCATTTTCATCATCCCTCCCTGCCTGTAGACTTGAGCCCATGTTCTCTCACGGGTGAAACTATCCCCTATTCCTTTTGTTGTTGCATTATCAATAACTCACAGTATGGGAGGGGGAACTACCAACACTTAGTTTACACCTACTGTGGACTTCTGATATTTGCACAGTGCATAGAAAACTACACTATGCAGTTTCAAGTCTCTCGACTGAAGGAATAAAGTGAGCTCCCAGCCTAAATTCAGAAGGTAAGTATTTAAAAGCACTACATAGGAATGCCATTTTGTTGCAGGGCTCTTGTGCTTTGAACTGACCCCTGAAAGCATGCGACTCCCCCCCCCCATCGCATATGGGGGTGATGGAAAAGCTTCACCTGCCAAATGCCTGCATGCTGCACAGTTCATAAAAAGCACAGGAGTCTTGCCAGGAAAGGTATAGGTCATCCTAACCTCACCATCTATTAAAACACTGTAAAGTTTTATGAACTCCATAAATACTTCTGCAGAAACTTGTCTGCGACTTGGTGGGCAACTCAGTCTTCCTCTGATGTTACTCATGTGTGTGTGTGTGTGTGTGTGTGTCAGGTGCAGCACCATCCTAAGTAGATTGAAATCCTACTAACTACAACTGACCCAGAAGAACATAACTCTGCACATGTTAACCTTCCTTCTGCATTGTGATTTCTGTGACATTTTGGAGCAGCCATAAATAACCAAATCAGGTTAATGTCAAATCCTTGCAAGGTTATGGAGTGAGCTGCAAAACAATGGCAAGATGCAGTGTGGGATAGTGTTGCACCGGCGGGATGGGGAGACCTGCGTTCAAATTCCCCCTTGGCCATGAAGCTGATCAGGTAACCCTGGATCAGTCACTGCCTTTCCTAGAATCTACTTCACAGGATGCTGCCCTGAGCTGTTTAAACAAAGGGCAGGATAAAACAATCATCTTCACAAGCATTTGCTCAGTGAAATGTGAGTTTCAATGACTTCTTATAGCACTTTCTTAAATGTATCTACCTTTCTTTCAAATGTGTTGGACTGGGAATATTTTTCGGTCTGTTGGTCAATACAATATCAACTCTACCAATACCACAATAAAATATGAACTGCACATCCATCCAAATAAACACATAAAGACTGTAATATTGGCTTCAGTTGGTTGTTATGGGCTTCTGGGAAATGTGAGCTTTCCAATGCAATTATAAAGGCAAATCATGTAAATGCTCCCAACACATTCCAATAATTTATCCCACAGATTCTCATTTGTCATACCTTGAGGCCATCTCTTCATGGCTTAATTCCAAACCATTTACTAGCATTCCACCCTTCCTCCAAGCATTTTTGCCTGACAGCTGGTAGAGGGAGGTCAGTCTGAGGGCAGGGATTTGAACCCAGCCGTCTTCCCATCGCCTTCGCTGAGCAGGCCTCCCTTTTTCCGTTCCGAAGGCAACTGGATTCCAGAGTTTTTCAGTCCTGGAGCCTAGATCAATTGAAGTCAGCGTCTGCAAGTGCACCCTCTGCAGACAGGCAGACCCAGAGCTATGAGCAGCCGCACCAGAACCAAAGGGCAAGTCGGGAGCTACTACGGGCCTTCTCGTTCTGGGCGGCTGCGTGCGCTTTAGCGAGCGCCAGATAGCGGAAGAACGGGCGGAGCCAAGAGGACAAGCAAAATATTATCTTTGCGCGCACAAGACCGGAATCCTTTTTTTCTCGTGCAAAACGGCCCGTCTTTTGCAACCTCAGCGAATACCGAGAAAGACCCCCCCCTTACTCTGAGTGAGGAATCGCCCTAGAAAGCAAATTTGAGAGCTGAAAAGTGCACCACGTTCCTTTCACTAGCCGGTAAACCCTGAACCAGCGATCTCTATATTTGCGAGGCAGAGTACATTACCAACAGCAAACTGCCTGCAAAGGTATATTTTTAGGATCCTTTCCAAATAGGTGAACAAGACAGGGATTGCCCTTGACCTTTAGCAAATCAGCTCGGTTTAACATTTCATCCTCGGAGTTCGCTATGCCAAGGAGCGCGCGCGCGCAACACGCAACAGACACAACACAAACTCTCCCCCCCCCCCCCCTTCAAAACCCCCCCAAGGATGTGTCGGATCAATTCCGAAATCTGGAGAATTGCAAAACCGGTGGGAGGGGAGAGCAAAAAACCAAACAATAACCCTAATACACCTTCTCCAGCAACTTACACTTGGGTATGAAAGTGGAGAACATCAATCCGATCGCACGAGGGGCGCAGAAAGTATTAACGATGCTGCTAATTAGATCTTCTTTGGGATTGCAGGGGAGGAGCAGGAGAGGGCAGCGGGCACGGGGGGAGGGGCTGGTGGAGAAGCCGTGGGGGTGGGTGGGGAAGAGCTCGCCGGACCCTCGGAAGGCTCCGCCAGAGCGGCCAAAGCGGCTGGAGGGGGGGAGCGAAGCGAGGGGGCTCTCTCGCTCCACCCACCCTCCCCGGGCCAGCAGCCTGGAGCGCTTCGCCTGTTTGACATGCAGCCCGGGCAGCGGGCGCTCTCCAAGCCCGTTAACCCCTTCTGCCGCGGCAAGGTGAGGCTGGAGAGCGCTCCCCCGCTGTGCGCGCTCCCCCAAGTTTAGTTGCTGTGGTTGTTTTCAATCACACGCTTTGCAACCTGGAAACTCTGGAACGAAGCGGGTTTTGCTTCCCTGGAACAAAGCGGGCCTTCGCTGTCCTCTCCGAAGATGCACTCTCGTGCCGCTTTTGCTTAACCGCTACGCAGAGCGCGCTGCAGCCGGTTCAAGGGACACCGCGAGGCTTGGCGAAAGGAGCTCGGCGGCGCACAGAAGCCCACCTGTTGCCTTTCTCCGAGACTGAACATTCTTTCGCTCCCTAAAG